TGATTGATTGAATTGATTGATTGAATTGATTGATTGAATGAATTGATTGAATGAATTGATTGATTGAATTGATTGATTGAATTGATTGAATCTATTGTTTGATTGAATTGATTAAATCAATTGATTGAATCCATTGATTGATTGAATTGATTGATTGAATTGATTGATTGAATCAATTGATTGAATAGATTGATTGAATTGATTGATTGAATTGATTGATTGAATCAATTGATTAAATCAATTGATTGATTGAATTGATTGAATCAATTGAATCAATTGATTGATTGAATAGATTGATTGAATGAATTGATTGAATGAATTGATTGAATGAATTGATTGATTGAATTGATTGAATAAATTGATTGAATGAATTGATTGATTGAATCAATTGATTAATTGAAATGATTTAATGAATGAATTGATTGAATGAATTGATTGAATGGATTGATTGAATGGATTGATTGATTAAATTGATTAATTGAATAAATAGATTGAATCAATGGATTGATTGTTTGAATCAATTGATTGATTGTTTGAATCAATTGATTGATTGTTTGAATCAATTGATTGATTGTTTTAATCAATTGATTGATTGATTTATTGATTGAATCAATTGATTGTTTGATTGAATCAATTGATTGATTGAATCAATTGTTTGATTGATTGATTGAATAATTGATTGATTGATTGATTGATTCAATTGATTGATTGATTGATTCAATTGATTGATTGATTGATTCAATTGATTGATTGATTGATTCAATTGATTGATTGATTCAATGGATGTAATCGTATGTATAATACATAACTATTTTTGTTAACTTTTGGCAAATTCTTATCAAAATTACCGATAATTTGTGAGACATTTTCCGAATCAATGCCATAGTTATCGGTAAACACATTACTGATCACTGAAGTGATTTTTTCGCCGATAAATTGATTGACTTTATTCATCAGTTATTCATCGGTTCCAAAGTCTATCACAGTTCTACTAATTTCTAAAGCATTGTTGCAATTGATCCGCAAATAAACCAAATTAAGACATATAGTCTTAAGCGATTCAATCATATAGTTGTCGGCAACATATAGCAGATCTTCACACATATCGACCAATTTGTCAAACCTTTCCGTATAAATAAATTGAAGAAACTGTTCGAACACATCGCTGTTGATGTCAGCGATTATTACTAAAAATAATAATAATAATAATAAATATAATTATTGTGAACGTCAATCGGCTCCCTGAGCAATCGCATGGGTGGTCCGCAAACCAATTGAATGGGTATCTGATCTAAACTTAAGATATCATAGTGTGCCATTTGCATTTCAATAAACCGTTTGAATCATCACAGCCTATAGAGTATTGGGTTATTTCAGGCTTACAATGATCATCACCTGTACGTCCATCCTATTAGTGATTAATTTTTTGTTTAGAAAAAAATTTAATATTATTATTCAAATTATAATTAAAAAATTATAATAAAAAAATTATAAAAAAAAGAATATAAAAACCAAATTTTTATTGTGTGTGTGTTTTTTGCCGACTAATTAAATAACTGTCACTTATATAAAAAAATACGGAATTGCCTTAACTGCGGTGAGACATGGGAAGCTTGCGGTCAAACATATAAAAGTTCTAGAGAATAAAAAGTTAGGAACTAAGGTCCACTTGAAAATATTTTAGGTCCACCAGGGGGCCCACAAAAAAAATAAAACATGAAAAATTTGTATTAAATAAGTGGCGGTCAGGGAGTATCTCGAGAACCGGTGGTCAGATCTTGCGGTCAAACATATAAAAGTTGTTGAGCATAAAAAGTTAGGAACTAGGGTCCACTTGAAAAAATTTTAGGTCCACCAGGGGGCCCACAAAAAAAATAAATCATAAAAAATTTGTATTAAAAAAGTGGCGGTCATGGAGTATCTCGAGAACCGGTGGTCAGATCTTGCGGTCAAAGATATAAAAGTTCTAGAGAATAAAAAGATATGAACTCGGGTTAACTTGAAAAAATTTAAGGACCTCCAGGAGGCCCACAAAAAATTAAACATTTTTTATTAAAAAAAATGAGATTGTCATTATCTAAAAAACCAGTGGTCAGCGGTCAAACATATAAAAATTGTAGACAATAAAAAATAAAAATTATGGTCCACTTAAAAAAATTTAAAAACCCCCAGGAGACCCACAAAAAATTTAAAAAAATCTATGAAAATGTTGTATTCAATAAATATCTTGAAAACCAGTGGTCAGATCTTGCGGTCAAACATATAAAAGTTGTGAAGAATAAAAAGATAGAAACTAGGGTTGACATTAAAAAATTTTAGGTCCACCAGGGAACCCACAAAAAAAATAAAACATTAAAATTTTGTACTAAAAAAGTGGCGGTCAGTAATTATCTCGAGAACTAATGGTCAGATCTTGCGGTCAAACTTATAAAAATTGTAGACAATAAAAAAATAAAAATTATGGTCTACTTGAAAAAATTTTAGTTCAACCAGAATTTCAACAAAAAAAATAAAACTTTTTTATTTGGCAAAATGGTATTCAGTAATTATCTAAAAAACCAGTGGTCAGATCTTGCGATCAAACATATTAAAATTATAGAAAATAAAAAGATAGAAACTTAAGTTAACTTATAAAAAATTCTAGGCCAACTAAGGGATTCACAAAAAAATAACTTTTTTATTAAAAAAGTTGCGGTCAGTATTTTAAAAACCAGTGGTCAGATCTTGCGATCAAAAATATAAAAGTTGTAAACATTTATAAATTAAAAAAATGGTTAATAAGAATAATTTTTGGTCTACCAGAAAACCCATAAAAAATATAACATTTTTTTATTAAATAAAAATATAGGTTTTAATTTTTTGTGAGGTTCCTAACTTTTTATTCTCTAGAACTTTTATATTTTTGACCGCAAGATCTGACCAACGGTTCTCGAGATAATTATTGACCGCAAGCTTCCCATGTCTCACCGCAGTTAAGGCAATGCCAAAAATACAGTAATTATAAACCAAACAAAACTTTTTTAAGCAGTAATTAATTGTTTAAAAAAAAAATTAATAAAACAATTGTGTCTCAAAAAAAGTGATAAATTTTAACTTTTCAAAGCAATTATAAGCACATTTTTTACTATTTTAAGCAAATATAACCACATATTTTCATATTTTTAATCAAATATTTCATTGAATAAAAACAGAATTTTAGCCACATATATCTAAAGTTACTAATTATGACTTAAAAATTAGTTTTAATATAATAAAAATAAAAATTATATTCTAAGTATTTTTAAATGTAATAAATAATATGTTTATATAATAAAATAAATGTATTAAAATTAAGTTTATAAATTATTTATAATGTAATTAATAAAATTTTTAATAATTAGATTAAGTTTAAAAAAGTTAGTAGACAAAAACATTGGTCTAACAATTTTTGGTGGATCATATATACCACTTGCTGTGGTTTTTAATCGAAAAGCACTTCGATTGCCATTTACACATCATGCGGAATTTTTATTTTTTCGACTTTAAAGTCGAATATCTCGAATTGCGGAGGTCGGACAGCTATGTGGGTGGTATGGTTAGACTCAGGGGGATCTGAGCTACCATCACTATTCGGGATTTTTGATTCCTTAAAGAGCTCTACCAATCAGCCAAAACTTGGGTGCCGTCGGCGCCAACTCCCAGTTCCCGTCCCAGTCATCGGCATCGTTGTCACCGAACGGCCCATAATAATTATTAATTAATCATTGATTTTAATTTGTGATTAAATTTAATTATTTTTTTATTGATATTATTTGATAATTGTGTGTCAATTAGTGTGTTTTTTAAGATTTAATTACATTTTATTGTAATAATAATTATAAGTATCAATAATGACAGCAACCGTACAGCGAAAGTATAGCCAAATCTTGGGTGCCGTCGGCGCCAACTCCCAGTATCCGTCCCAGTCACCGAACGGTCCATCGCTGGTCATATTTAGCGAACTACGGGATGAGTACTCCATCAGCGATGACCAGTACATACCGTACCGTTTCTATGTTGATCCGACATTGAATATCATTGCCGATAAGGTTGGCCTCTATCCGATGGGTTGGACGGATCGGGAACGTGATTCGGCTCTCATGAAAATGGTATTCAACGAGTCAACGGTTGATGAGTTTGACGAACGAACAGTTTGTTTCCCGATTAAAGACATACCGACTGCTCCACAGATGGACAGTTCACTGGCCAGTATTGGCGGCGGTGATAATGGCCAACAACAGCAGCCGTCGGCAGCGGCGGCGACGTACTATCAGTTTTGCTATTTTCATCCTTTCGGCGCCTATACTCGGTATCAGTTGTTGAGGTCGATTGCCGCCGTTATTCTTATCATAACCTATCGCTACACAGTAATTACTGTAGTGTCCGTCCCCGACAGCTTGACATCCACGCCCAGGGCTGGCCACTGGCAACTACTGTTGCGTTTACGCGTCCAACTATGTCCAGCCGAGTGCACCGAATCCATCGAAACTCTATCCAAATCTAATCGATATTAGTCTGAATCAAATACGATACCAAAATCGTCAGCTGCTATGATGGACAGTCTATCCGATCATTTGGACATTGGATTTGAGCACTGGTAGTAGTAATAAGGAAAACCATCAGCGGAATATTCTCTACAATATTTTTTAATTATTTAATTTTTATTCAAATTAATTTATATTAAATAACAGTATAATTGATTCATTGTATAGTTTATTAAATAAACAAACAAATAGTATTTATTGATTGACTGTATCATTCAATTAGTTATATAATATTAATTAAATTGTATTATAATTTTAATATAATTGTTATATAACTGTAATCTAATTGTCTTAAATTAATTATCAAAAAAATTTATTTTTCATATAATAATAAAACATTTCCTTATTTTTAATCCACTTATCCGTTGATTAGGTGACGGCAGCTGAAGAGGCGCCAGTATTATAGCCACCACTAGTAATTGACAACTCATTGACCATCTATTCATCGCTATCTTCTTCTTCAGTTTCTTTGTCCACTCCTTCTCGTTGACCATAGATTTCCTGACTGTTGTCATTACTGTCGCCAACAACGGTTCCATCGGCGCCAACAGTTAAGTTGGGATTGTTTTCAATTTCATCTAATCTTTGATTAAAGTAAGTCATGTCTCGTTTTCGTCGACGTATACCCAACTTGTGTCTGGTTTCCAGGTATGGCCACAGATATTGAACGGCCACTAAAGCACTGGTAGTATAGAGTATTAGCAAACAAAAAACACTGGGTCTCAACCCTACCCCCCACCCCAACAGCCCTCAATAGATACTGACCTCTCGTAGGTGGCGAAGAAAAACACCGGATATTTTCCGGGTCCTACTGTATAGCCGGGCGGCGGTTCGGCCACTATCTGTGCCACGCGGACGGACAATGGGAGGACAGACAGACAGACATACAAAAAAAAAGGGTTAGTTATGTGGTGTGTATGTAATAAACAAATTATGGGATATAAGGTAGTGGTAGACAACCTACCCGTGCCGGCCACGGAGGATAGCCAATCACTTTGGCAAATACCAGATCGCCGACGGCATACTTTGCGGGACAGGTTTTGGTGGCATTATTTTTAAAGGGTATTATTATTATTATTACTACTACTACTAACTACTAATAGATAATGTATTTAAAAAATATAAATACAATATATTGAATTCATGTATAAAGTATTATCCAATTGTTAGTACAGTTTCTCGTTTTTTTTTGTTTTTGTATTTTACAAAAAAAAATTATAATTGATTTCAATTTACAGTATATACTGTTAGATTGTTCGTTTTAATACAGTTTATACCGTTTGTCCATATGAATCATCGGCCACTTACATTATAAAATAATTTTAGTAGGTATAACCCAGATATAGAACATAACGGATTATAACCCAGAAGTCTAAAGTCGAAATTAACTAAATGTCATTTATGCATATGATTTATGCGAATATAAATATTTTTGAAGACTTATAATATATCTGAAGCCAAAATATCACTATATCTTATAGTATTTAAAAAAGTCGACTTTAGTCAAAAATTATTAAATATTATTTATTTATAAATATACGATTTCAGTGTACTTTTTATATTTATGTTTATGAAACTAAAATATTATTAATTAATATATTAAAGATATTCGACTTTAAATACAAAGATCTAAACATATTAATTAATTTTATTTATGTATGTAATATATTGTATTTTTTAATGCTTATTAAGAACATCTATTATAATTTTAGTTGGGATATTATATTTTTATAATAATACTAAAATAGTTAACCTAAAAATTATATTAAAAATTACACTACATTTGTTTAATAATTATTGCATTAAATGCTTTTTGATGACTAATTTATATAAAAATTTGTATTTATTGTTGAAAAATATTTAAAAATGTTTTCTTAGTTAATAATATCTCTAATAAATAAATTTTGATTTTCAACTAAAATCGAAAATCACAAATAGTATATGACGTTATTTTGCTTTCAGATACTTTTTTAGGTATTTTAAAAATACATTGAAGTCATAATCTTTTCATAAATAACAATTTCTCAAATATTAGAAGACATAGTGATATTTTGGCGTCAGATACATTATAAGTTTCTAAATATATTTAAATTTGTATATAACATATGCATAAATAACATTTAATTAATTTAATTTACAATTTTCAATAATTCGATTTAAGACTTCTATGTTATAATGTATTATGTTCTATATCTGTGTTATACCTACTTAAATTATTTTATATCAGCGGAACAGTTATATCAGCGAACAGTTATATCAGCGGAACAGTTATATCAGCGGAACAGTTATATCAGCGAACAGTTATATCAGCGGAACAGTTATATCAGCGGAACAGTTATATCAGCGGAACAGTTATATCAGCGGAACAGTTATATCAGCGGAACAGTTATATCAGCGGAACAGTTATATCAGCGGAACAGTTATATCAGCGGAACAGTTATATCAGCGGAACAGTTATATCAGCGGAACAGTTATATCAGCGGAACAGTTATATCAGCGGAACAGTTATATCAACGGGACAGTTGAACTGTTGAACTGGGCATCTATTCCCGGAAGCCATCATTATCGATAACCAATGGCGTGGGTTGTTAATATGGTATTGATAGGCCGACAGCGTAACCCAGTCATATGGTAGTAGTACGCTAACATTTCCATAGACCAATAGGTCATCTGTTTAAAGTAATTATTGTATTAACATTTTTATTAATATATTATCAATTATATTTTATATTTATATTTTTAAAATAATAAATAATATTTAATAATAAAATATTTCAAAATATATTTACTACAATAATGTAACGTCAAAAATATTTCTAATTGAATTTTTATCAAGGTTGATAATGTCTAGTCTATAATATTTTTTAATTTAAAATACAATAAAATAAATCATTTAAATTTTTTCATTAACATTACATTAATATATTATCAATTATAGTTTCTATTTATATTTTAAATATAATAAGTAGTATTTAATAATAAAATATTTCAAAATATATTTTTAACAGTATTGTAGCGTTAAAAATATTTCTAATTGAATTTTTATCAAGGTAGATAATATCTAGTCTATAATATTTTTTAATTTGAGTTTGAATAAAATAAATCATTTAAATTATTTTATTAAAATTTTATTAATATATTTTCAATTTTATTTAATTTTTTTTAATTAGAAAATAATAAATACTGTTTAATAATTAAATATTTCAAAATATATTTACTACAATAATGTAGCGTTAAAAATATTTCTAATTGAATTTTCATCAAGGTTGATAATATCTAGTCTCTAATATTTTTAATTGAAAATACAATAAAATAAATCATTTAAATTTTTTCATTAAAATTACATTAATATATTATCAATTATAGTTTCTATTTATATTTTAAATATAATAAGTAGTATTTAATAATAAAATATTTCAAAATATATTTTTAACAGTATTGTAGCGTTAAAAATATTTCTAATTGAATTTTTATCAAGGTAGATAATATCTAGTCTATAATATTTTTTAACTTGAGTTTGAATAAAATAAATCATTTAAATTATTTTATTAAAATTTTATTAATATATTTTCAATTTTATTTAATTTTTTTAATTAGAAAATAACAAACACTATTTAATAATAAAATATTTCAAAATATATTTACTACAATAATGTAACGTTAAAAATATTTCTAATAATTTTCATTGAATGGTAATTGAATAGTAACGTATAAACTAGTGTTTTCATAATGGAATCAACATTGGATCAGTTGGAAGCGTCATTAACTGACATTTCACTTACATATACCAGTCAATCGCTTATGGAATACAATGTGACACCGAGTAATAGAAGACGATTAATGGAAACACCAGAAGAAAGAGCACAAAGAACTCAGGCAATGCGAGAACGCGCTATTAATAGATGATTGAATGAAACGCAAGAAGAAAGATATCAACGAATTGAGACTATTCGTCAACGAGTTATTGACAGTCGATTGAATGAAACGCAAAAAGAAAGACATCAACGAATTGAGTCTAATCGTCAACGAGTCACTGACAGTCGATTGAATGAAACGCAAGAAGAAAGACATCAACGAATTGAGTCTAATCGTCAACGAATTACTAACAGTCGATTGAATGAAACGCAAAAAGAAAGACATCAACGAATTGAGTCTAATCGTCAACGAGTCACTGACAGTCGATTGAATGAAACGCATGAAGAAAGACATCAACGAATTATTGGTGATAATCGTCGCATAACTGAACGGAGAACAAACGAAACACAACAAGAAAGAGTACAAAGAATTGAAACCGAGCGCCAACGAATAACTGAACGATTGAATAACGAAACACAAGAAGAAAGACAAAGTCGACTCTAATCTAATCGATTACGCAAAACTTATACACGACTCAATGCTACACAAAAAGATTCWCAACATCAAAGAGAAGACGATAGAAATAGACATCATAATCAATATCATCAATTGGGACGCTTTTATAAATCATTTCGAGGCAATGCCAGACCTGAAAGGAATGACTTTGACAGGATGGATCGCAAGTGTCAACATTGTGGATCTATGTTTTGGGTGATAGAAAAAACACATGGATCAAAAAACGAGCCCAAGTATTCAAAGTGTTGTAAAAAAGGACTCATAATTTTGCCACCGTTTCAACAAATTCCAGACGAACTCAACATTTTAATGACAAACCCTAATTATAGACATCAATTTTTAAGCAATATTCGTGCATATAATTCTAACTTTTCTTTTGTTTCAGTCGGCGCAAAGGTGGAGGAACCTACGCGTGATGGTTTGTGTGCATTCAAAATTCAAGGAAACATGTATCACCGTATGGGATCAGTTTTGCCACAACCTGGAGCGAGCCCTCGATTTATGCAATTGTATTTTTACGACACTGAACATGAGTTGAACAATCGAATGACAGTAATGAATGGTCGTAATCAAAACATTGTCAACATTTTAATACCAATGATGCGCGAAAATAATCCATATGTAAACAATTTGAAGATGACAATTGATCAGTTGGATAACAACGTTTCACAAGATATTGACATAAGGATTTTAGCAGAAGGTCCATCAATCGATAGACGAACATATAACGCGCCAACAGCTTCCGATTTTGCTGCAATAATACCGCAAGAAAATTGCAACTGTCCATTGGATATTAAAATTAAATTAAAGTCAGATGAAGTTCAACACATAAACCATAATCACCGTTCGTTTGACGCACTGGTATATGCACTGTTGTTTCCTAAAGGTATATATTAAATAAAAATTTAATGATTGTTTAATTTATACTGATTTTTATTTTTATAAAAGGTGATTTTGGTTGGCATTTTTCGGTCAAAAGTCTCAACACTGCACACACAAAGAAAGTAACAGCAATGCAGTACTACAATTATGTGCTTCACTACAGAACGAATTCACATATTCATAGATGCAGACGTTTATATCAACAGTTTGCAGTAGATTCTTGGGTTAAGATAGAGAGTAGTCGTCTAAGTTGGATTCGATTTAATCAACAACAACTTAGAGCATCAGATTATCGACACATAAGAGACGCAATTGATAATGACATACCAACAAACAATATTGGAAAATATACACAATTTTACCGTCAAGTTTTACATATGGTCCTCGAGCAATGAATCTTAAATATCACGACGCAATGTAAATAGTTTCACATTATGGAAAGCCATCTCTATTTATTACATTCACATGTAATCCAAAATGGCTTGAAATAACAAGAGAATTGGGAATTGGCGAGACGGCAAATGACAGACAAGATTTGATTGTAAGAATATTTCAACAAAAGTGTAAAGAATTAGATGAAGATCTTCGAAAAAGACATGTGTTGGGCAAAGTCATCGCTCATGTTGATGTCATTGAATAAAGAAACGCGGACTCCCTCATCAACATGGAATCTATTGGTTAGATGAAGCGGATAAACTGAGAAACGTAGAAGATTATAACACTGTTGTTTGTACCGAAATACCGAGTGATGATGTTATACTAAAAGAGACAATTACAAAATGTATGATTCATGGACCCTGTGGCCCGGCATATCCATCATCGCCATGTATGAAAGATAACAAATGTTCTAAAGGATATCCGATGGCATTTGTTGACAAGACATATCTCAACAAAAAAGGATTTGTAAAATATCAAAGAAGAAATGATGGTCAAGTTGTTAATATAAGAAGTCAAGATACAGTTTCAGCAGATAATCAATTCATTGTACCTTATAATCGAGGACTAAGCAGGAATTACAATGCACATATAAATGTAGAAGTTTGTTCAACAATACAAAGTTGCAAATATCTGTTCAAGTACACTCACAAAGGAAAGGATAATGCAATGGCAGGATTGTCTGAACAAAATAGTGGTAACGACGAAATAAAGTTATATCAAGACAGTAGATGGGTTTCAACAACCGAATCGCTATGGCATATATTTGGCTATGGAATGCACTCAAATACACCAGCTGTTTATCGTCTACCTGTACATCTTGAGAACCGACAAATTATAACATTTAGAGGAACTACAGAAGTTGATCAGTTGACAATACCAAAAGAAACAGAACTAACGCGATGGATGGCATTTAACAATAATAGTTCTGAAGGTAATATTAATGTATAATTATAAAAACTATTTAATTTACTTAACTTATTTTTAAATAAGGTCGTCATCTGCTATACCCTGAGTTTTCTCAACATTATACTTTTCAAAATAATCATTGGAAAAAAAGATGTAGACAACAATTGACGCCAATCGGAAGAATTTATACAGTTCATCCATCAGAAGGAGAGTTGTATTACTTTCGATTATTATTATTTCATATTAGTAGAGCAAAATCATATCAGGACATGAGAACAGCAAAAGGACAAGTATGTGCAACATTTAAATCGACCGCTGAAGCATTAGGACTTCTAGAACAAGACAAGGAATGGGATCTCTGTCTTAATGAAGCAATAATTACACAAAGTGGTAAACAAATTCGTGAGTTGTTTGCCACAATTTTAGTATTTGGTCAACCAACGAGTCCTAAAAGTCTGTGGGAAAAATATAAAACAAGTATGACTGAAGATTATGTTAGAGATCAACAAAGAAGACATGATGAAGACTACGAGATTACTGAACAAATAATTAATATTTTTATAAATAACGCCTTAAAAGATATTCAATCGCATTTAGAAGCAAATAGCAAATTTTTAAGTGATTTTCCTGAAATGCCAACAGTAAATAATAACTTAATAAATGGAACATCAAGGCTTATACTTGATGAAATAGAAGACAATCCGGAACTAATACGACCAGAAGTTGAGATAAATGAAAAACTATTAAATGAAGATCAAAAGAAAGCCTATTTAGAAATAATCAATGCCGTTAACAGTAATGCAGAAAACAGTTTTTTCTCAACGCTGCTGGTGGTACAGGGAAAACATTTTTATTCAATTTGCTTTTAATCAAATTTAGAAGTGAAGGTCATATAGCTCTGGCTGTAGCATCAAGTGGAATAACTGCCATATTGTAACTACTAAATGTAAAATATATTCTAATATATAATATATTGTAACTAATAATTATATTGTTTAAAGGTAGAACAGCCCATTCACGATTCAAAATCCCCATTCCAATTGATGAATCTTCGAGCTGCAGGATTTCGTGCCAAAGCGATACAGCCGAACTTATACAAAAAGCACTACCAGTTGTCAAACACGGAACAGCAAGCGATACGATCGATTCCTGTATCACTCGATAGTACCTCTGGTTATCTATAGACATTAAATCTTAGCATCAATTAAAGCGCACTTAATTTTCTCACTAATAATTTTCAAATATTTTCAGATTTTTTGCTATCAATAAAAGAAAGTAGAAGCCCATACAATGAAGAATTCATTGATCTACCCGAAGCTATATGTTCCAAATCTATGTCATTAGAAGATTTTCTTAATGAATTACCATCAATCAATGACTGGACAATTGTTGCCGCAAAGAATGATCATGTTGATGAAATCAATAATATATTAATTGATAAATTTGAAGGCGATGAAATTGAGTATTTTAGTGCAAATTCATTAGTTGAAAAAGATAAACATGGACAGTTTACTGATGAATTTTTGGCGAGTCTCCATTTTTCAGGTATCACTGTAAACCTTATAACCTAATAATTATTAATATGTTTACGGGTCTTAAAGGTCTTCCTTCTCATAAATTGATTTTGAAGAAAGACTATCCTGTAATGTTGTTGCGCAATATAAACCCATCTATTGGTCTTTGTAATGGAACAACACTAATCTGCAAAGAATTTCATCGTTTATCCATTGTAGCCGAAATTAAGAAAGGAAAGAATCAAGGACGACAAGTAGTTATTCCAAGAATTGATTTGATTCCATCAGACACCGATTTGCCTTTTTTATTCAAACGGAGACAATTTAAAATAAAGCCAGCATTTGCAATGACGATCAACAAAAGTCAAGGATAAACATTTAAAAAAGTTGCAATTTATATCCCAGATGGTGTTTTTTCACATGGACAACTCTACGTCGCGTTATCAAGAGTTGGAAATTGGGGATATTAAAGTATTTGCAGGACTTGGTGGAAACAATACACGTAACGTTGTATATCGTAACGTGTTTTAATAACATATAATAATATATTTATAGATCAAGGGTTGCACATCACCTCATTAACAAAAGGTGTGAGTGGAATGACTGAAAGCCAACCACTTAAAATAAAGGGTGAGGAATAATGAGATCGCCTGCAGGAGGTTTCCTTGCTTATACTGAAAGATCTCAAAAAATTTTAATAAATTATATTTAATTTTTCATGTATTATAATTACATATGTATTCTACAATATAACAAAAATTTAAAACTAATATTGCTAAACAGTTTTAAAGACTTCTCTTAATTGCGTAAATTTATTTTTACATGTATTGTAACTGTGTATGTAAAAAACATTATACTAAAAAATCATCAATTTTTAATAGCGCGAACTTTTTTTATAGACGATAACATAAATTTATTTTTATTTTGATTTTAACTACATATGTATTCTACAATCTAACTAAAAAAATTCTAATATTGTTTAACAGTTTCAAAGACGTTTCTCTTGATTGCGTAAATTTATTTTCTCATATATTGTAACTGTACATGTATACAACATTATAGCAAAAAATAATCAATTTTTAATAGCGCGAACTAGACGTTTATATGGATAGCATAAATATAGCAATATAGCTTTTATAATCAGAATTATAATTGTAGTTGACTATTGTATATGTATATCTATATGTCTCATCATAAAGAATTTTGTTAAGCAATTACTAAGAGTATGCACTACTATACATGTTGCGCGGGTAAAACTAGTATTAATATATTATCAATTATATTTTATATTTTTAATTAGAAAATAATAAATACTGTTTAATAATTAAATATTTCAAAATATATTTACTACAATAATGAAGCGTTAAAAATATTTCTAATTGAATTTTTATCAAGGTTGATAATATCTAGTCTAATATTTTTTAATTGAAAATAAAATAAAATAAATCATTTAAATTATTTCATTAACATAACATTAATATATTATCAATTATATTTTATATTTATATTTAAAAAATAATAAATAGTATTTAATTATAAAATATTTCAAAATCTATTTTCAACAGTATTGTAGCGTTAAAAATATTTCTAATTGAATTTTCATCAAGGTAGATAATGTCTAGTCTATAATATTTTTTAATTGAAAATACAATAAAATAAATCATTTAAATTTTTTTATTAACATTACATTAATATATTATCAATTATAGTTTATATTTATATTTTAAATATAATAAGTAGTATTTAATAATAAAATATTTAGAAATATATTTTATACAGTATTGTAGCGTTAAAAATATTTCTAATTGAATTTTCATCAAGGTTGATAATGTCTAGTCTATAATATTATTAAAGTTGAGTTTGAATAAAATAATTCATTTAAATTATTTCATTAGCGTTACATTAATATATTATCAATTATATTTTCTACTTATATTTTAAAAATAATAAATAGTATTTAATAATAAAATATTTCAAAATATATTTTAAACAGTATTGTAGCGTTAAAAATATTTCTAATTGAATTTTCATCAAGGTAGATAATGTCTAGTCTATAATATTTTTTAATTGAAAATACAATAAAATAAATCATTTAAATTTTTTCATTAACATTACATTAATATATTATCAATTATATTTTATACTTATATTTTAAAAATAATAAATAGTATTTAATAATAAAATATTTCAAAATATATTTTAAACAGTATTGTAGCGTTAAAAATATTTCTAATTGAATTTTCATCAAGGTAGATAATGTCTAGTCTATAATATTTTTTAATTGAAAATACAATAAAATAAATCATTTAAATTTTTTCATTAACATTACATTAATATATTATCAATTATAGATTATATTTATATTTTAAAAATAATAAATAGTATTTAATAATACAATATTTCGAAATATATTTTATACAGTATTGTAGCGTTAAAAATATTTCTAATTGAATTTTCATCAAGGTTGATAATGTCTAGTCTATAATATTTTTTAATTGAAAATACAATAAAATAAATCATTTAAATTTTTGCATTAACATTACATTAATATATTATCAATTATAGTTTATATTTATATTTTAAAAATAATAAATATTATTTAATAATAAAATATTTAGAAATATATTTTATACAGTATTGTAGCGTTAAAAATATTTCTAATTGAATTTTTATCAAGGTTGATAATGTCTAGTCTATAATATTATTAAAGTTGAGTTTGAATAAAATAATTCATTTAAATTATTTCATTAACGTTACATTAATATATTATCAATTATATTTATACTTATATTTTAAAAATAATAAATAGTATTTAATAATGAAATATTTCAAAATATATTTTAAACAGTATTGTAGCGTTAAAAATATTTCTAATTGAATTTTYATCAAGGTWGATAATGTCTAGTCTATAATATTTTTTAATTGAAAATAAAATAAAATAAATCATTTAAATTTTTTCATTAACATTACATTAATATATTATCAATTATATTTTATACTTATATTTTAAAAATAATAAATAGTATTTAATAATAAAATATTTCAAAATATATTTTAAACAGTATTGTAGCGTTAAAAATATTTCTAATTGAATTTTCATCAAGGTAGATAATGTCTAGTCTATAATATTTTTTAATTGAAAATACAATAAAATAAATCATTTAAATTTTTTCATTAACATTACATTAATATATTATCAATTATAGATTATATTTATATTTTAAAAATAATAAATAGTATTTAATAATAAAATATTTCGAAATATATTTTATACAGTATTGTAGCGTTAAAAATATTTCTAATTGAATTTTCATCAAGGTAGATAATGTCTAGTCTATAATATTTTTTAATTGAAAATACAATAAAATAAATCATTTAAATTTTTTCATTAACATTACATTAATATATTATCAATTATAGTTTATATTTATATTTTAAAAATAATAAATAGTATTTAATAATAAAATATTTCGAAATATATTTTATACAGTATTGTAGCGTTAAAAATATTTCTAATTGAATTTTTATCAAGGTTGATAATGTCTAGTCTATAATATTATTAAAGTTGAGTTTGAATAAAATAATTCATTTAAATTATTTCATTAACATTACATTAATATATTATCAATTATAGATTATATTTATATTTTAAAAATAATAAATAGTATTTAATAATAAAATATTTCAAAATATATTTTAAACAGTATTGTAGCGTTAAAAATATTTCTAATTTAATTTTTATCAAGGTTGATAATGTCTAGTCTATAATATTATTAAAGTTGAGTTTGAATAAAATAATTCATTTAAATTATTTCATTAACGTTACATTAATATATTATCAATTATATTTTCTACTTATATTTTAAAAATAATAAATAGTATTTAATAATAAAATATTTCAAAATATATTTTAAACAGTATTGTAGCGTTAAAAATATTTCTAATTGAATTTTCATCAAGGTAGATAATGTCTAGTCTATAATATTTTTTAATTGAAAATACAATAAAATAAATCATTTAAATTTTTTCATTAACATTACATTAATATATTATCAATTATATTTTATACTTATATTTTAAAAATAATAAATAGTATTTAATAATAAAATATTTCAAAATATATTTTAAACAGTATTGTAGCGTTAAAAATATTTCTAATTGAATTTTCATCAAGGTAGATAATGTCTAGTCTATAATATTTTTTAATTGAAAATAAAATAAAATAAATCATTTAAATTTTTTCATTAACATTACATTAATATATTATCAATTATAGATTATATTTATATTTTAAAAATAATAAATAGTATTTAATAATAAAATATTTCGAAATATATTTTATACAGTATTGTAGCGTTAAAAATATTTCTAATTGAATTTTCATCAAGGTTGATAATGTCTAGTCTATAATATTTTTTAATTGAAAATACAATAAAATAAATCATTTAAATTTTTGCATTAACATTACATTAATATATTATCAATTATAGTTTATATTTATATTTTAAATATAATAAGTAGTATTTAATATTAAAATATTTCGAAATATATTTTCAACAGTATTGTAGCGTTAAAAATATTTATAATTGAATTTTTATCAAGGTTGATAATGTCTAGTCTATAATAATTTTAAATTTGAGTTTGAATAAAATAAATCATTAAAATTATTTCATTAACATTACATTAATATACTATCAATTATAGTTTATATTTATATTTTAAAAATAATAAATAGTATTTATTAATAAAATATTTCTAAATATATTTTCAACAGTATTGTAGCGTTAAAAATATTTCTAATTGAATTTTTATCAAGGTTGATAATGTCTAGTCTATAATATTATTAAAGTTGAGTTTGAATAAAATAATTCATTTAAATTATTTCATTAACGTTACATTAATATATTATCAATTATATTTTCTACTTATATTTTAAAAATAATAAATAGTATTTAATAATAAAATATTTCAAAATATATTTTAAACAGTATTGTAGCGTTAAAAATATTTCTAATTGAATTTTCATCAAGGTAGATAATGTCTAGTCTATAATATTTTTTAATTGAAAATACAATAAAATAAATCATTTAAATTTTTTCATTAACATTACATTAATATATTATCAATTATATTTTATACTTATATTTTAAAAATAATAAATAGTATTTAATAATAAAATATTTCAAAATATATTTTAAACAGTATTGTAGCGTTAAAAATATTTCTAATTGAATTTTCATCAAGGTAGATAATGTCTAGTCTATAATATTTTTTAATTGAAAATACAATAAAATAAATCATTTAAATTTTTTCATTAACATTACATTAATATATTATCAATTATAGTTTATATTTATATTTTAAAAATAATAAA